CCCAAGCTTCACAACTGTCTCCCACAAACAGAGGGCCTAGTTTGGTCCCATGGAGGCTCCACAGCTGTCAATCAGAGTTCACAAGTTCCCGGGAGCTGTTTCTGTAGATTTCTCCAACATGGTTTTGACCTCCCTTGCTCATATATTCTGTTCTCCCTCTCTTCAACTGGATTCCTGGAGTTTGGCCTGGTGCTTGGTTGTGGATCCCTGCATCTGTTTCCATCACTTACTGGATGAAGGCTCTATGACGATACTTAGGGTATTCACCCATGTGATTACAGGGGAAGGCCAGTTCAGGCACCCTCTCCACTATTGCTAGGAGTCTTAGCTGGAGTCATCCTTCTGAAATCTTGGAAATTTCCCTAGCACCAGGAGACTTGTTCAACAATATTCATAGTAGCATTATTTGCAATAGCCAGAACTTAGAAACAATCTAGATGCCCCTCAACTGAAGAATGTGTAAAGAAAATGTGGTATATTTACACAATGGAGTATTACTCAGCTGTTAAAAAAACAAAACAAACAAACAAACAAAAAAACCAATGATATCATGAAATTTTCAAGCAAATGGATGGAACTAGAAAAGAACCATCCTGAGCAAAATAACATAGACTCAGAAAGACAAACACAGTATATATTCCCTCATAAATGGGTATCAGATGTAAAATAAAGGATAACCAGACTAATCCACAGCTCTAGAGAAGCTAAGAACAAAGAGGACTGTAAGAGGGACACATGGATCATCCTGGGAAGGGAAATTCAATGAGATCTCCTAGGTAAACTGGAGGAGAGGAGGTCGGTAAAGGGGAGGGGATAGCGGATGAGAACATGAGGGGAACAGGATGCTGTACGAGGGAAGAAATAGAGAGGGAGAGCAAAGAAAGAGACACCTTGATAGAGAGAGCCACTATGGGTTTATGAAGTATGTAAATCTTATTTGAGTGCCTCCAAAAAGATTCAAAGCCTATGCAAAACTTGGTTGCAGAAGAACTCAAAAAACCCGAGTTCTGTGGCTGAGAACTGCTTTGGCATTTGTCTGTGGAGCTTCAGATAAAAGGTTTTGTAATCCAACTTGACTTGTTAAGGTGTAAATACTATAACAATGAAAAGCCTTTTGCAGACAGAGGCAGGTGGATCTCTGTGAGTTTGAGGTCAGCCTCATCTACAAAGTGAGTTCCAGTTTAGGGGAATGTCCTTCTGTATGCTTTCTCTTATTGGTTGATGAATAAAGCTGTTTTGGCCAATGGATAGGCAGGATGTAACCAGGCAGGAAGTATAGGCAGAGCTATCAGAGTAGGAGAATGCTGGGAAGAGGAATGCAGAGAGTGAATCTCGAGAGAGACACCATGTAGCTTCTGAGAAAGCCAGAGGCTCGGGCATCACTGGTACGCCAAGACCATGTGGAGATATACAGATTAATAGAAATGGGTTAATAATTAAGAGAGAGCTAGCCAATAAGAAGCCTGAGCCACCAGGCATTGGTGGATCTTGCCTTTAATCCCAGCACTTGGGTGGGTGGATCTCTGCGAGTTCAAGGCCAGCCTGTCTACAGAGTGAGTGCCAGGATAGGCTCCAAAGGTACACAGGAAACCCTGTCTTGAAAAAACCAAAAAAAGAAAGAAAGAAACCTGAGCCATAGGCCAAACAGTTTATAAATTTATATAAGCCTCTGTATGTCTATTTGGGACTAAACAGCTGTGGGACACAGAAACTTTTCGCCTACTGCTAGGGCTGTTACAGAGAAACCCTATCTCAATGCACCCCCCCCCCCCCCCCACACACACACGCAAAGCCTTTTGAAAAGTCAGTTCACTAGAAGCTGACTGCCCTGTGGTTGTAATGGCTAAAAATCCTAAAGTGGCCCTGTTTCTTCTATAGATCCAAGTGAACTGAACACCCGACAAAATAGCTTAAAAACAAAAAATAAAGAAAAAATATCAAGTGTTGAGCCAGGCATGGTGGCATACACCTCTTGTCCCAGCACCTGGGAGGGGGCAGGAGGATCATAAGTTCAATACCAGCTTAGGCTACTGAGAATCTGTCTCAAAAAAAAAAAAAAAAATACCCACGCACACCCCCAAATCAGGAAGAAATAAACAAGTATTGAAGAGGATGTGGGCAACTAGTCTTGCATATTGCTAGTGGAAATGCAGTGCAGTGAATCACTTGGGAAAGTAGTTTCACAGTACCTTATAAAGTTAAATATACCCTTGCTACATAACCCAGTACTATTTCTAGGTACTTAACCTACAGTAGAAGTCAGCAAACCTTTTTTCGAAGGGCCAAATAGGAAACATGTCAGGATGTTTTCTATATGATTTCTATCCTGATTACCCTGCTACTATAACATGCTGCCAACTATGTACAAAATGTAAAAGAATGGGGCATAAATGGACATAAATTTGTTAAGTCATAGTTTGTCCATCCTTGAGAGAAATGAATCTACACTCAAAAGCATTATACCAGAAAGACTTGGCCATGCTGGAAGTCCAGAAAGAATTTACCAGTAACACAGTAACATGCAAAACGTGATCAGGTGCTGCTGGAGTACAAGCATGAAGCCTCAAACCTTGTCAGAGTGAGAAACTAAGTGACTGAAGGGTGAGACGGTAAAGCAATGAAAGAAAACAAATCCATGGATTCCAAGGGAGAAGGCCAACCCGTCTCTCTCTCGGAGAGGCACAGGATCACTACTGATGCCAAGACAATGAATAACTGTTTCTGAAAGAGGGACAGCAGTGAAAACCCTCTGGTTCCATGGAAGGGACAAGACATTCATTGGGCCTGTGATCCTACATCAATAATGATCATTGGTGACACATGCCTGCAGTCTCAACCACTTGGAAAGATGAGGCAAGATGATCACAATTTTACAACAATCTATGTAACAGATACACACGCGTGTGCACACACACGTGCACATCCCATAACACACAGAAAAAACAATCCTGATGCAGAGAGATACCTCAGTAGTAAACAGCGAGTACTTGCAGGGTACCTAAATGCTGTTCCAGGCACCCATGCCAGGACCTACTCCAGCCCCAGGGGATTGTTCCTGGCCTCTGAGGGTACCTGAAGGCATGTGCACACACATAATAAAAAAGAATTAAAATATATCTTTAAAATAGTAATAATAAGCTGGGTGTTGGTGGAGCATGCCTTTAATCCCAGCACTCGGGAGGCAGACGCAGGATCTCTGTGAGTTCGAGGCCAGCTTTGTCTCCAGAGTAAGTGCCAGAGAAACCTGTCTCGAACCCCCTGCTAAAAAAATAATAATAATAATAATAATAATAATAATAATAATAATAATAAATAATAATCCCAAATCCAGCTCAACTGTGGACTACCATTGAGTTAGTTCCCCACATTAGCAGCATGATAAAAGGCTGGCTACAAGTACTCAATATTTGCTTCAGTTTGCTTTCTCACAGGCAATGTCTACCATTCAACCAAAAATTATGAGGCAAATATTCAAGAAAAATTAACCCATTGTTAGCCAATCAGCAGATCTGGATGCAAAGATGATTCAGAGATTGTTATTTGTTAAATAGAAGCTCTAATATATTTAAGATTTGGCGTGTAATTCCAGTCACTAAAGAAGGTAAGGCAGAAGAGTGAAAGTTTGAAACCAGCTATGTCCAAAAAGGGAAATCTAGTCTCAACACAAAAGCTTTAATTAATATGTTAAAAGATTCAGTCGATTCTTACAGCTCCAGAGAAACTAGGTAACAAGGATGACCCTAATAGGGATACATGGGTAGAAAAGGAAGAGGAGGTCTGGGGGGGAGGGGGGGGGGGGGGGGGGGGGGTAAGGGAGAGGGTTGGGGGATGAGAACATGAGGGAACAGGGTGGTTGGGCGGGATGCAGTGGAAGAGCAATGAAAGATATCTTAATAGAGGGAGCCACTATGGGTTAGGGGAAAACCTGGTGCTAGGGTGATTTCTAAGAATCCAGAAGGATGACCCCAGCTAGGACTCCTATGAATAGTGGAGAGGATGCCTGAACTGGCCTTCCCCTGTAATCACATGGGTGAATATCCCAACTATCATCATAGAGCCTTCATCCAGTAATCAAGTCCAAGAGAGGGAGGAGGGAATATATGAGCAAGGGAGATCAAAATCATGATGGAGAAATCTAAAGAAACGGCTGAGCCTGGTGGTGGTGTCGAACACCTTTAATCCCATCACTCAGGAGGCAGAGGCAGGCAGATCTCAGAGTTTGAGACCAGCCTGGTCTAAAAGAGCTACTTCCAGGACAGCCTCCAAAGCCACAGAGAAACCTTGTCTTGAAAAATCAAAAAAGAAAAAGAAAAAAGAAACCACTGAACCAAGCTTGTGGGAACTCATGAACTCTAGACGGACAGCTGTGGAGCCTCCATGGGCCCGAACTAGGCCCTCTGTATGTGGAAGACAGTTAAGCTTGGGACATCTGAGGGGCTCCTGGCAGTAGGACCACAATACAAACCTGGTACATGAGCTCATTCCCTATGGTGGGATGCCATGTTCAGCCTTAATGCATGGTAGAGGGAGTTGGCCCTGCCCCAACCTATAGTGCCAGGCTTTGTTGACATTTCATGGGAGCCTTTACCCATGAGAAGGAGTGGACTAAGGATGGGCTGGGGTGGGTGGGGGGAAGCAGTGAAGAGGGTCAGGAGGGAGAACTGTGGTTGGAATGTAAAATGAAAATTTAAAGAATAATTAAATTATTTAAAAAAAAAAACCTTTAAGTGATAGAATCAAAAAAAAAAAAAAAAGACCAAAAAAACCACGATCCTGTGGAAAGATCAACAGCATATATAATGACATTTTCTGGCCTCCACAGACACTATACATACATAGTATACAAACATACATTCAGGAAAAACACCCATACACATAACATTTAAAAAAATATTTAAATATATATTAAAAAATAGAAAACAAAAAAATTACAAAGAAAAATTTAAAACCTGTGGAGTAAAAATCAACCATAAAACAATAAAATTTGTAACACAGCTTACCTAGATGCAAATTCACTTAATTCTGAATATTCTGTGGGTTCCATTATTATGCTGAGGTCAGTTATAACAGATGATGATTTCTCTTTAGTCTAAAATAAAGATGAAAAGTTTATATACAAGAGCAGACTACCTTTTAAACTAGACAAAAATACTTTAAATATGCAAATAAAAAATTGACAAAAATTATAAAATATTGGCTATTTGTGGAGTAAATTAAATTATATACTCAGTACTTAATAAAACCTAAAATGATTCAATATAAATTGAATATTGAAGCCATAAATATTAGGAGGAATGAATTTTTTAAAAAAACCTTCTCACCAAACAATAGGAAAAAAACTTATCAAATGTGATTACATAAAAACTCAAAATATCTAAATAAAAATCATTTTATGAACTGAAAAAAATGTTTGACATAGTATGATGAGGAAAAAATAAAAGTCATAAACTAAACTAAAAGACTTATAAAACAAATTACTACAGTTAAAAAGTTAAGATTTCACTAGTAGTAGATAAATGTAAAATTAAAAATAAGTGACTTTTTTTTTTTTTTTTTTTTTTTGGTTTTTCGAGACCGGGTTTCTCTGTGTAGCTTTGGAGCCTATCCTGGCACTCGCTCTGGAGACCAGGCTGGCCTTGAACTCACAGAGATCCTCCTGCCTTTGCCTTCCGAGTGCTGGGATTAAAAATGTGAGCCACCAACCCCCGGCTAATAAATGACTGAACAAAGTTTTATAAGTGCTACTGCCAGGAACTTGTGGCAAAAGACTTGCCTACCATATGCCAGGCCATAGTATAGGGCAGAGGTCACCACAAACCTGGCACCAGGGATATAAATTAGACTTTCTGGAAGTTATTCTAACAGTGAATTTACTAAATATTCATTTGCTTCATTCTTACACTTTAGATTCTTATAAGACTCCACGCTGAAGTATAATAAATTAAGAGAAAGCCTTACTACTAAAGATATTCGTAATAGTGATATTTATTACCAAAAGCCAGAACAAATTTCACCACTAATGAAAACAATTTCAGACATTCTTTTTTTGTTTGAGACATGGTCTCTAAACGTAATCCTGGCTGTCCTGGAACTCACTATATAAACCAGGCTGGATTTGAACTCACAAAGAGCCAAATGCTTCTGGTTCTGTGAGCTGGGATTAAAGGTGTGCATTAGCACTTAGTGATGCTCCAGAGACATTCTTACAACTCAGATTTTAAAAAGACAATGTAATTTTAAAATGGACAAAGGATTTGAATAGGTATTTCTCCAAAGACAATATACAAAGAGGCAGTAATCTATTGATGAATAACATACTGGTATTATTGCTTTATACACACACATACACATACACATATGTGCAATGTGGATTTTGGTAAATTTTAGCTGTGTTTCCAACTTTGAAAAAAGGCATCTCAGTTTGCCATGTTGAGTTGGCACTGTACAGAAATTAACAGCCAGCACAACACGAGACAAGGTCGGAGACCAGCAACAACTGCAGGGTCAGCAACTTTCAACACCAGCCCATGTTTGTGGCAGCCAGCAGATCAGCCAAGGTTGGCAACTAACAAAGAAGCTTAAAAATATACAGATATGGGCTTCAACGAGTGATCACTATTGTAACTGGACAAACAGCATGTGTTCATCTCCAGCTGGGCCAGGGATGCATTTACAGTCTGTTGTCTCCCCACCTGCTTGGCCCAAGGATATGCCTAGAGAATGAAACAATTTCTACAAAAACTATGTCAGTCTTTGTCCAGTTTCTGTCATAAGTCCTGCAGGAAGCCATAGGCACGTAGCTTAGCATTTTCCCCCTTCTCAGAACACTTCACACTTTGAGGAGTTTCTATAACTTTTCCTTAATGTCTCATTTTTCCTTAATAAATCTACATTGACTTTGCTTATTCCTCCTTTGCCTACAATGTTATCCATCACTGACATGAGACAAAGAACTTAGACACTGTCTCAGGTTGACTTTTAGTGGTTGTTGATTAGCACGGGTCGAGCCTTTCTGGGCTGAGAGATACCACTTTGTTTTCAAAAATCTGCACCACCATGAAACACAATATATTAGCATTTCAATGTTTGAGTTCAGATATTCAAATAATCAGATTACTTTTAAAGCCTATGGTGATGAAATTGTATTCTCTTCATTTTTTTAAAAAGTATTTTTAGTGTTTTTGTTTCAGGGAGAGAAGTTACATAAACATACTTTACCATCCTACAAACTCCCACCTATCTGACTTACACTACAAGGACTAAGGAAGACTGATAGTATGTGCTTATTTGCTCTGATGGTCTGAAAACTTCACTAAAAGTGCAGTGCAGGTAACACCACACAGTCAACTGGAGGAAATTAATTCTGTTACAAACACCTTTGACAAGAGGTATAGCAACAGAAGCAATGCCTCATACTCTACATTGATTTTCCCATCTCTTTGTCTAACATTCTACAAATAGAATTTAAGGGCACTGTGCTGGCTAGTCTTATGTCAACTTGACAGAAGATAAAGTCATCTGAGAGGAAGAAACCTCAATTAAGAAAATGCCTCCAAGCTGGGCTGGTTGGCCTAGGCCTTTAATCTCAAGACTCAGGGGACAGAGGCAGGTGGATCTCTGTGAGTTCAAGGTCAGCCTGGTCTACAGAGCGAGTCCTATGATAGGTTCCAAAGCTACAGAGAGAAACCCTGTCTTCCAAAAAAAAGAAAGAAAAAGAAAAGAATGCCTCCATAAGATTACTCTTAAGGCATTTTCTTGATTACTGATTGATGTGGGAGGGCCCAGACCACTGGGATGGTGCCATCCCTCCATTGGTGGCCCTGGCTTCTATGTGAAAGCAGGGTGAACAAGAATAAGGAGCAAGCCAGTAAGCAGTACTCTCCATGGCCTCGCATCAGGTCCTTCCTGTCCTGACTTCTTTCTATGATAAACAGTGATGTGGATGTATAAGCCAAATAAAGCCTCTCCTTCCCAAGTTGCTTTGGTATGATGTTTTATCACAGCAATAGTAACCCTAACTAGGACAGACACTTTGGTTCAAATATGTGTTAACAATATTTATTATGCAAAAATAAGCATTAATATGGTCAAAATGTGTAATTTACATCTTTCAATTTTCTGACAGCTAAACATCCCCCCCTAGTGGAATGTCTGATTTTTAGGAAAGAAAAAAACCTAGTATGTTCAGTCTTTACTTTTTTTTTTCTGTCTCAACAGTAAAATGTGCACAGCAAAAATCATTTAGTTTGCTTTTCTGCTGCTATGATAAACACCATTCCCAAAAGCAACTTGTAAAAAATGTATTATCTTACACTTCCAGGTCATAGTCCAATACTCAGGGAAGTCAGGGCAGGAACACAGCAGGAAATTAAAACAGAAACCATAGAGGAATGTTGCTTCCTGGGTTGCTCACTGGCTTATGCTCAGCTACACTTTGTTGCTGTTGTTTTGTATCTTGAGACAGGGTTTCTTGTTGTTCTAGAACTCACTATGTAGACAAGGCTGGCCTCAAACTCAGAGATGGACCTGCTTCTGTCTCCCAAGGGCTGGGATTAAAGGCTTGTGCCACCCTTGCCTGGCTCACCTAGATTTCTTATACAGTTCAGGATTGTCTGCCTAGGGATAGTGTAATCCACATCAATCAAAACTTAAAGCAACCCCCACAGTCCAATATGATCTCAAAAGTCTTCTTTCTTCCCAGGTGACTCTAGTTTGTGTTAAGTGAACAATAAAAGCTAACCAGCATAACAGCAAAAACATTTTAGAGAAGATATCTACATTTATCAATGAATTTCAATTTATGTGTACATTTCCTTTAACCTAACAATTCTAATTTTTTAAAAGATTTATTTTAAACGTATGTTTTGCTTGCATGTATATATGTATACTATGTGCATGCCTGGTACCCTCAGAATTCAGAAGAGAGCATCAGCTTCTTTGGAACTTGAGTTTTAGATAGTTGTGAGCCATCATGTGGGCATAAGAAACCAAACCCAGGGTTTCTGCAAGAGCAACAAATGTTTTAACTGCTTAGCTATTAATTCTAACTCAGCTCTAAGCTATTAATTCTATAAGGGGGACTTTTACTACCTACACATTGAGTGTGGCAGCACATGCCTGGAATCCAAGTACTTAGGAGGCTGAAGCAGATGAATATGAGTTCAAGGCCAAGCTGAACTAGGTTCATAGCAAGACCTTACCCCTCAATCCACACACACACTCCACTAAAGAAATAAAAAAATTTTCATTACTTTTTTTTGTCAGAATTCTAAGCAACAAAGATAAATAAAAAGGGCGTTTGTTCCCTTTCTTTCAAGCCAATAACTATTGACAACTCCTACAAAATTGATCACTAGGCTTTATTAGTTCCACAGCTATTTCAGTTCTTTCCAACATCTTACTTGTCAGTGTTTCTTTAAGACTCAAAAACTTTAAAAGGTTCAGAGAGAAAATGAGTACTCTCAAGAGAGCAAAGGAAAGTACGATTTTCTGCAGCACATTGTTAGCAAAACTAAGTAATCAAAATGCCAACTTAATTGTAAATGTGAACAATACAGTCTCTTTGGAGATTCAATTGCAGTATTCAGTCTTTCAAAGAATTTCAACAGTCCCTCTAATATTTTTCTGTATCCTTATAATATATAAGGCAGAAACCATTAGTTGTGCTAATGCTTTCTTACCCTGAATTTTCACTGGCCTATCAGGTGACAAAAGTACATAACTTAAGTGAAGTTACAGCATTGTGGTTTGAGTCATCGCTTGGGCCCGGTCCCACTAATGAGAATAAAACCAATTTTTGGATATAAAACTGGGGGACCAAAGTATTTCTACTATGGAAAATTTTGAGATCCAGCCTTTGGTCTCACTAAACATGGAGCATAGGAAAGCTCAGACCTCACCATTGTATTGTTAAGGCCAGTAAGGCTACTATTGTTTAACATGGCCTCAGGGTAATATGCCTCTTATTTGCATCTGTATGTGCCTAAGCATCTGAATAGGCCCTCACCTGGGCGGAGGAGGAGCCAGAGGTGTGTGAGTAACTTGTGAGGACTGAAGGTTAGGAGAGAGGGGCCAGTGACCAGAGGAGAGAGGAGAACAAAGAGGGATGGTTCCCTCTTGGTCATGGCAGGACGGTTAAGAAACACCAGAAAAGATGGCTAATAAAGAAATGACTCTAGTTCCACAACATGGAACTGAGAGCTCTCTGAAGATGACAAGTTGCCTGTGTTTGATCTTTATCGCCGTTGGGCTGCTGGGAGCTTCCAGGTCCACACACCCCAACTCAGGCCGAACCTCATGGCTGTTGTGGGTTAAAGCCAAGACAAGCCGGGTCACGACATAAAACATCCTGAAGGGTATAGTTCCACTTAACTCCTTGCTCAAATCAAACTCAGAATAGTCTGTGTTCAACAGGATTTGTGAACAAACTTTCCAGAACAAGCCTAGTTTTGTTTACAGCAAAACTTCTCTCCAGATAAACCATGAAGTAAAGACATGAACACCTAGAATAAAAAACTCCTACAAGGCCCTAAGGCCAATAACAGGATACCAGAGTCAATTCCCAGTAAATACTAGACTACAGATGTCCTGAGAAGAAGTTGGACCTGGCTTACAATACCAAGTTGCCACAGGTTACATTCAGCACCTATAAATGGGTACCATCATGCAGGGGAAAAGATGTCATAGTACCAATCTGAGGTGAGAATCACATTGGCCCAAAACAAAGAAAATTCAGTTGGTCAGACTATATAACTAATTACAATGGGAAAAACTTAAGAGTTCCTAGGCACAAAAAGGAAAACATAGGGCCTTAAAACAGGCTATGCCACCTGGATGAAACAATCAATTTGGGCGCATGCTCCAGTCCAGTCTTTAACAAAGATTGTCATAGTCTTGTAGTACTGCCTCAATGACCCTGTATAGCCCCAAGGTTGGTGTCCATTTGGGAACAGCATAACTTATATAGGATCACTCATCAATTATGACTTGACTTGTGAAAATGTTAACTGCTGTGTGAGTCAAAGTTCTCAGAAATTTTTACAGGACTGATTAACTGATTAGAGCTTCCACCAACCCAACAGGCTAAGAATGCCACCAGATAGCATCTGAGGCCGATAGTTGAGATCTCCCCACTTTATAGTACCTCCTTTGAGATGAGAATTGTAGTTTTGAATCAACAAATGTATCTTGTTCAACTGGTATTTGGAACACCACACTGTTTTCTTGGTCACATTGGTAATACTGAAGGGTGATACTGAAGTGAGTGAATGTTGGGAGCTCTGTCATCAGATGAGAACTAGATATTCCACAACCCATCCTTAGCCTGCCCCAGGCCAGTGATAACAAATGCATTAGCAGCACAGAGAAGCAAAAGCTCAAAGCCTAGACAGCTGAACTTCATGCTTGAATTGTTATTATATGGCTTTCTGCTTACAGACACAGGGTACTAACTCAGTCACTGACTACTATCCTGTAAAAAAAAAAAAAAAAAA